AGACACACCTCACGTGCTGGGCACGCACTTATTATGGTGATTGGTGTTTATATGCTGGGTGGCCTCCCGGTGCACTGTTCCTACCTGGCTAATGCAGGTGATGGCACACACTGTAAACTGTCTGTACCCAGATTGCTTGCTAGGACTGTAGTGACCTCCATCCATTGGTCCTGTGGTGGGCAACCACAGTGTATGGAGTTCAGCCTGGTGAGACCACTACAACCAGAGCTGAAATCCTTACGTGTGAACTCTACTTTTGTTTTTAAATCTACACGTTTCCTTGTGAGAATTTTAATTACTTTGATCGTTTACTCATTGGTGATATTCTGGGGGTAAAAGAAAAGGAACCGAGTGTCAACTAAGTTTTTTCAGCTTTATTCTTGAATACACAGCGAGAAAATGAAGTCGTAGGAGGCCTTGATGCTCCTGCAGTCACAGTGTGTACTTTTCTTCCAAGTACATTCCTGTCTCTGTTTTTGAGCGACCTCGAAATCACAGTCCACTGAACCCATGGGAGAGCTCGGGTCCATGGCAGAGTGTCTGCCCATCCTTGCTCAGCTCCTTCTGTTCTGCTCATCCATCCCCAGGCTGCTCACCTTCTCAGGAGAGGGGAGAACCATCTGGTCTACCCTTAGGAGCAGCAGAGTGAGTTTTGGATTATTAACGTCCATTCTCTGGTAGGGGAAGACCCTGGGAACGTAAAGTGTCAGTGCTGGGGTCAAGCAGGGCACTGCAGACCCTGAAACCAGCGTGCAAAGAGCAGCAACGAGCCATAGACCAGCCACGGCGGCGTTGCATCATGCGGGAAGCAGAGGTGGGAGCACCAGCAGGTTGGGAGAGGAGCGAAGCATCCTCCACGCTGAGTGATGCGTGGGCACAGGTTGGGGAGGGGTCTCAGCACCTCGCTGGCCCCGTGCTCATTTCATCTGCAAACAGGGGGGCAAGAGAGGGATCTGCTTCTGCTGGTGCTGGCCGGGATGCAGCGGCAGGGGCACGGCGGCCGGACGGCAGCGCTGGATGGGTCGGGGGCAGCAGTGCTGGACGAGTGGGTGGCAGCATGGGGCACAGGGGTGACGATGCTGCAGTGGCAGGGGATGCAGAATCACGGGGGGATGGGTCTCCTGTGCAGGGCACTGATCCACGCGCCGCCGGGGCTTGCGGCAGCACCCCGGGTCTTCACTGCACTGGGGTGGGCGATACTGCTGCAGCGGCCGGCGGTGGATTTTCACGGGTGGGGGGCAGACGGGCTCCACGTGGCTCACCTCCACCCGCCGCCGGGGCTTGCCACAGCTGCTGCTTTGCTGTGGTGGGTAGCAGGTCTGGGGTGGGCACGGCTCCATGGGTTGGCAACCTTGCGGCTTGCTCTGGCAGGACCCCTCGATGTCGCGGCTGAGGCTGCCGGGGTCGTGACAAGGGGTCGTGGTGCTCACGGGGCTTTCGTGGCAGCAGCTGGGGGAACCGTGCCACGTCCAGCCCTTCTCGCCACAAACCGCACCATCATGGCACACGTCCTGGTCACTGCCGCCTTTAAGGTAGTGCATCCTGTCCCAGAAATGACCGAGACCTTGGGGATAAACAATCTGGGAAAAAAGAAAAAAACCCTCTGACTTATCTTTTTGCTGTTTCTATGGAAATAAAATGCACAATCCAAGACAGTTGAGAGAATCCAACTCACCCTGGTGATGGACGGGCTGAGCGGGCATCCGAGTCCTCAGGACAGCGCTGGGGCTGAAAGCTTTTATATGGGGCAGAGCTCTCTTGGAAATGAGGCATGCCATGGGAATTAATAGCTGAGCACTGAGTGCCACTTCTGTATGGATATTTTTTCTGGCACTTGCTGTTGGATTAATCAGCTGCAATTAGCATCTCCCTTGATGCAACGTCAGCTCAGCGCTTTTGCATATGCATTGGCCATTATCTAATTAGTTTTTCCATCGGTCATGCTCAAATACGCTGTTACCTAATGGCAGTCAGATGGGATCCTGGGATAAGGATACCTGGAATGCCGTGATGCTGAGTGATGTGCCCAGAAGGGGTCTCTCGTGGTGGTGGGAAAACTTCCAAATTCCATGTTAGCAAATAATTCAGACATTGACCTGTGTACAGATGACTACAGATGCTCTGAGAACAGTGTCCTTACGGACACCAGCACGCCAGGACGCAGGGATGCCCTGCCTTGGGCTGTGGAGGAGATGCACGTTGCCATGTTTAGATGAATTAATTGCCCCATTTAGATGGATTAATTGCCACATTTAGATAAATGAATTCCCTTCCAAGTGAAGAGCACCTCGGTCAAGTGAGTGGGTCCAGTGTTGAAAGCCCTTTTACGTGCAGCAAATCTGGAATGAGGACGCCGCAGAGGAGCGCTGACTTCACGAACTAAAAATCTCAGGCTTTGTCAAGCGCCGTATCCACCTTTCTGACATTTCTGCTTTGACTCATTCTCCGTGCAGCTGCTCCACTTTGCATTTCCTCAGACGGCCGAGGCATTTTTTAAGTACCAGCAAAGTGTCTCTGCCGGCAGCCCCGGGCTGTCGATGCAAGAAGAATTTCCATGAGCTCACTCCACAGCAGAGCCTCCATAGGAGATGCTCAGAGGTTTTTTTCCAGTGGCGTTTGGGTTTGAATCACCAGGAAAAGCATGTGCAGAATCCAGGGGTGTGACTGCAGGGCGCATGCTTGGACCTGGCGACTTTGCTGCCGCCGAGATGATTTATTCTTTAGCTTCAGGAAAAATGCGATTGCCTTGCAGGAAGCCACGGGGCTTGCATGCAAGGATGGGAAAGGCCTTGGTATTTGTTAAGGACCAACAAGAATTTTTCATTTATAACTCGTCACCGCAGTTCCAAGATTATGCTCTTTTTATATGATTTGGATTTTTTTTTTAACGTTAGATGTTTTGGAGTCACAAATCATAGAGTGCAAATATTTAATTTCTGAATCTCATCTCTTAAAATCTGCCACATTTTAATAGAGTTTCAGATTAAGCTATACAGCATTTCTGCATCCTTCAGGCTAGACTTCTATCTCCACATTTTTCAATGACTTTCTCCCTCCCTGCACCGCTGCTGTTCTATTTAATCTCACTGATAAGACATCAAGCCTTTTTAGAAACCTGCTTCAAAGCTCAGCAAATTCACCGGGAAGATTTCCATTAACCAAAAAGACCTTTAGCTCTATCCTGAGGACCACAGCGATGCCTTGATGGGCAACTGTGTCTCTTCATAAGCAGGGGAAAGACAGCGTGAAACTGCACGGCCAAGAGGATGCTCCTGTTGCTCGGACGTTGCACTGACACAGGCAAACACTGCTTTTTCCCAGATAAGAGGCTGACCCATGAAGTTTCCCACATGTTCTGGGGAGCTGTCATCAGTAGCGTGACGAATAGTTGAAAAATTATTTGTATTTGGAAACAAGGCAAATGATAAAAAAGTCCCAGATTAGAACTGCAGTGTAAAAGATGATGATAAATGAATGAACACGTACCAGAAGTTTGCAGTGTCATAACTGGGAAAATTTATTATCTTTCATGACTAATTGGAGATTAGAACAAGAAAAGGGAGAATGATACATCAAGAACATTAAACATCCCACACACCAAGGGGAAAATTAGCAGCAGGTATAATGCATACAAAGGAAAATCATACTTATCAGTGGTAGTAACTTCAAAGCACATTACAAGCATTCAATGATTAAAGGCAGGCAAAGGAGAAGAAGGAAGAACTACAGACTCTAAGCAAAGGAGGAAGAGCATTTGGGGACATATCCGTGTCTGTATCCGCGTCCATATCCACATCTGAAAGGAGGGAATCGTCCGGCAGCGCAGCAGCAGAGGGGCTGAGCGCAGCCCCAGTGCTCTTTGCTGAGCGGCTTTAGTTGCCGCAGCCGCAGCTGCGGCTGCCAG